GGCAATCATGTTCAGATGCGGCTGCGCGGGGGTGGCAGAACGCGTAGCCATTTAAGCGGCAGGGTCTGAACTCAATGCGGGTGTGTCCAGCAAAAGCCCTTGGTATGGATGCCTCACATTTGTGATCCATTCATCCCGGTGGCTGCTTCAGAACCCCCTCTATGGGCGGGTGGTGATCTGACAGCCACTGCCTAGGGTGAGTTCATCAGCGTCTGACCGTGGCTGCAACTGATTCCAAGCATGCTGGCACCCGCGCACGATCTAGCGTTTTTTTTTTTTTTTGACATATACGCACCGTCTCTTCCAGGTCCAGGCCCTGGTGAGTACCCCTTGGCTAGTTCCCCTCTTCTCGTCTATGAACAGGGAAACTCTTTTGTAGATCAGGGAGTCGGCCGGGGCTTCCAGCATGGCTGCCCTCAGGCCTGAAAAAGCGTCTTCCATTGCACAGTCATCCTAGCTCCCCTGCCTTACACCCTTCATCAGAGTCGAGCCTTTTCCCCAAACCCTGGAATCAGAGGGGCAGAACCCACCGACCCCAGAATTCCCTCAGTTTCGGCTGGAGGGTGAAGTGGGTACTTTAAACAGTCTGCTTCATCTTGCCTCGGTTAAGCCACCTTTTATTATCCCAAATATGGTGATGTCATCTAGCAATTTGACCCTTTGCACTGGCTTGGTACCCCAACTCCGCCTATATTTTGAATTTAAGTGGGCCCTCATAGGGCAGCCTGGGTGTTAGGTGCAGCTAACAAGCAAGTCAGTCCCATACTGCAGCAGAGTCACCTCTGGGTGATTAGTTTGTACTCACCAAGGTCATCATGGAGTGCCTGGTTGAACAGGCGTAGGCGAGTTTTAAACCCTGGGCAGTCTCGTCTCATGAATCCTCTCTCCTGGTCGCCACTCCAAGGCAAAATCTGGCTGTGTGTCGCACCGCCAGGTAAAGAAGGCATCCTTTAGGTCGTAGGCGGTAACAAGACAGCGTGGGAGGAAGAGAGCTCAACAGAGCTGATAGAGTTAGGGACTGTGGGAGCTGGATATCCAGGCCCCTTGCACTTGACTTCCCTGGACGGTCTGCAAGGCCTATAGTCCTTACCCACCCACCCCCACCCCTGGTTCTTCACCGCAACAGGGGGGTTCCAGCGACTGGGCATTTTCGGAGGAATCCCACCTGTCCAGGAGTCTCTGAATGTGGGCGGCGTAATCCCACTCTTGCTTCCTGGGACATGGGTACTGGTCTTGATCGGGCTGTCGGCTCCGGGTTTACTCACGTAAAGAGGCGGCGGTGTTTGCCGTTCCTATGCCCCCTGTCTCGGCCCATGCTATGGGAAATTCACAGAGCCACGTGTTCCATGCCTTCCTCTCTGGCTTGTGGGCTAGTAAGTCTATTCATCTGCTTTGTCGGGTCAGATCTGACGGGGGCGGGGGGCGGGTGCGCCGTTGTCCGCGGGGGGTGTGACCGGGCTGTTGATGGAGATTGTCTATATTATCGTCTATTATTACTCCCTCTCTCTCAAAATGAATTTGATCTAACTTAGCTTGGTTCAGGATTGGTCTCTTCCCAGTAGCGCGTGGAACACTCAGGGAGTGCATAAGCTGATCTTTGTCCTGACACCAAATCCAAATTGCCGTGTAATCCACCGATACAGTTTGGCTTCCTGTTGCCCTGCACCAAACTGGTCTTACTGGACAATTTCCTGTGTCTTGTTTAGTAACTTGTATCTGATGAGGAAGCTGACTGGGTTCCCCTTCACTATGCAAGTTACCCTAGGTCGGGGAGGGGGAAAATGGAACCTGTTTCTCTATTCTCTGTACCGTCCTGCAACATGATTTTAGCCTCCAAGTCTTCGCCCCCTTTCTTTTGGGGCACTCTGGGGCCCAATGCCATGCTCCTTGCAATTGGCAATTGATCCTTCTCGCCTCTCCCGCCGGAGCATTTCCCTATTCTCTGACCCTATCTCCCCCCTCTTGTGGCGGCTAGCAGGTTTTAGCCATTCTCTGTTTGCTTTCCGTGCTTCCCCGCTTGGAATTTCCTATTCTATCCTGATCCTCTCTAACCCTCTCTCTGGCGTCTTCTATTGTTATAGACCTTCTCCACCACTTCTAACAGGTCCTGCAGAGTCTTCTCGCCTAATCTATCTATTCTCTGCACCTTGCGCCTAATGTCGGGGGCTGTCTGATTGACAAACACCATCATAACAGCGGCTTATTCTCCTCCATTTGTGGATCTGTGGGGGTGTACTGCCGGAAAGGCCTCTATGATCCTCTATAAGCAGCTGCCGGCTCTCCGGCCCTGACGAACATCTCCTACCTTGCAATTGGTCGCGTTCTACGCCGCCATATGGAGACCGGCCAATCAGAATCTGGCAGTAGATCCGGAGACGCTCCCTACCTTCAGCCTCATTGTAGTCCAAAGCGGGCTGTTCGGGGGAAAATTCGGTTGATGGTCGCGGGTTTGTAGTGGGTCTGCCATTCTCCCCCGACCAGCTTCCGTGCCTCCTCCTGAATCCTTTCTGTTTCCCATTGTGAAGAGCACTTAAGCCATGCTGGCATATCTCAGGTGGGATGAGAGTAAAAAGAACAGAGTCTAAAGATTAATTAGGTCTCTCAGATTTCAGAGATTGGACTCCACGCAACACTGCGTCCCAACGGACCGAGGAGCTGCATCCTTCCTTCTTGGCTCTTAACTGCCAGAACTTCCGCCTTTCCCTCGGGGCAGGTAGGAGGCCTTCAGCCAGTGGCGGTCTAGAACCAAGTTTGCAGACACAAAATAGGAGATCTGATCAGGGTGGCGTGGTGGCCAAATACCACCTTTACCTTTTTGATCAAGGAGGCATCAAACGAGCCCTCCCTGATGCCATCCACTCCAACGTGGGACATCGTGGCCAAACTTCCCTCTTGACCTCCAGGGACAGTGTGTGCCCTTGCCCTGACATCCTTAAGGCTCACCAGGATGGACAACACGCGTTGTTAGAGCCTGTGCCATGGCTAGTCGATAATAGGCAGATGTGCAACCGATTATTCTGCAGTTGGGGCACTGGGGACAAGGATCTGAATCCCTAGCCTTTCACACTCCTACACGAGTAACGCCGTGCCCTCCCACACTAGCCACTCCTGCACGGGCAGTAGGAGATACACTGTGTGCTGCCGCCATGCAGGGAAACTCACCTGGGGTTTAGTTGCCCCTCGGATCTTTTCGTGGTCCTGATTCCACGGCCCCAGCCCGAAACCATGCAACCCTGTGGGTTCTTGGGTGAAACCACAGAACCAGAGACTCAACAAGCCAATGAGAGGATGTACACTCACTCACACACAGAAAGCGGCGACAACAAAGCAGACAACAGACAAGTAGAAGAAGTGAGTAAACAGACACTAACGGTCCGGCTATCCCCGGCTCCTCCTGACGAGCCTTGCTACAAGGCAGTCCGAGTCCAACGGGGCCAGAGGACGTCTCCTGCCTGGCTCCGACGGCGACCCACCAGCGCGTCCGCCTAGGTCCTGTGCCGGCATCCTGATCCGGGGTCTCAAGGGTTCTGTCCCTTGCCCAACACCACACCAGCTATCCGGGGTGGATTTCACACTCCTCTCTCAGCCTGAATTCTATCCGGTAGTCTGTGGGGAAGGCAAATCCGGACGAGCCCCAATGTTAGGACGACCTTCCATAGCCCACCGGACAGAAAAGCGAGACATTGAGGATGCAATCACACAAGAGGAGGTTTATTTTCTGGCTAGCCAGGGTCCAAGCCCCAGAGCACCAACGCAGTGGCTACTCTCACAGGCAAGGACCAATGTGCCTATTTTTTAAATGATATTTTCTCTCAACTTCTTTCAAGCAAAAAAGTCTGAGGTAAATATTTAGTTCATTCACAAAAGTTTTCCCTTGATCTATCTATGCTTGGTGCTACAAATAATAGCCATAAATGTTAGTAACTAAAAAAGGGGGAATACTGTAGTTTAGAATCATATTAGCAATGTTCTTTATTAGGTTACTGTAGGAGCTAATAATTTATGTTTTTATTAAGATAAACTTACATAGCTATTAGAAAGAATAATGAAAGTTTCCATTTAAGAAGTTTATAAGTGGAAAAAAACATGGAGTTTCCTAAAAAAATAAAAAATAAAACTATTACATGGTCCAGCAATTCCACTACTGGGTATATATCGAAAATGAAATCAGTATGTCAGAGTGATAGCTGCATGCCCATATTAATTGCAGCATTATTGACAGTAGCCAAGATCTGAAATCAACCTGTTTATCAATGGATGAATGTATAAAGAAAAGGTGATATATATGTATATACACATACAAACAAATATTATTCTTTCTTAAAAAGCAGGAAATCCTGTCATTTGCAAGAACATGGATGAAACTGGAGGACATTGTGTTGAGTGAAATAAGCTAGACACAGAAAGATACTGTGTGATCTCACTTATATGTGGAATCTAAAAAAGTTGAACTCATGGAATCAGAAAATACAGTGGTGGTTTCAGGGGTAAAGGGGAGAAAGGAGGAGAAACTAGGAAGGTGTTAGTCACTGAGTACAAAGCTTCAGTTAGACAGGAAGAAAAAGTTTTTGAAATCTGTTGCATAGCATGGTGACTATAATTAATAATGTATACTTGAAAATTGCTAAGACAGTGATTTCAAATGATGTCACCACAAAAAAATGTATTTGAGGCCATGGCTATGTTAATTAGCTTGATTTAATCATGCCAAAATATATATATATATATATCAAAACATCACATTGTACACCATAAATACATCCAATTTTTATTTGTCAATAAAAAAAATTTTTGTGAGGATTTATGTTGCCCTAAGTGTGATTTTTTTAATGTTGTGGCGGGGGGAGAGGGAGGGAGAATAAAGTCTCATTGATAAATTTTCTTACAATATTTACATGTGAAATATTTTTTCATTTACTTTTCAGTTTTTTGGTAGAAATGTTTTGATGCTTATTTTCAGTGTTCTTCATAACTTATTTCTTCCATATTACTGGCTTTATAGGAAGAAATGGACACCAGACCAAAGGTGTCTTCTCTCCTCAATCGCATGGCCAACTACACTAATCTGACACAAGGAGTAAAGGAACATGAAGAGGCAGAAAACATCACAGAAGGGAAAAAGAAGCCTACCAAGGTGAGGCCTCAAAATAACAAGGGTGAATTAGAAGAACCTTGTGTATAAGACAGGAGGAAATACCCAGGGCATCATTCTGTGTTGAATTACTGTTAAGCGCTTGATATATGCCTGGCACTGTTCTGGGCACTTGGATCGTAGCACAAACAGAATATACAGTGTCCAGGATCTCATGTAGTCTAAATTATAGTGCGGGGAGACAGTCCTTAAGTTGTTTTAACTGTGTTAAAATATATAAAATACTAAGTGTTAATAAGTGCTCTCACAAAAATTTAAGCAGGGTAAAGAGACTGAAACTGACAAAGGAGCCAGAATGGAGGTGGGTGGGTGCTGCTTTGGATAGAGTGGACAGGGAAAGCCCTTTGGACAAGGTGATGTTTGAGCAGCAATCTAGCTTCTGTGAGGGAGGGAGCCACGTGGGAAAAGAGCATTCCCAGGGAGAGGGAACAGCACTTCAAGAGAAGAGTGTCCACACTCATCTGCCCATGCCATCTGTCTGTTGTGAAGTTGTTGAGTTTTTAAAGACCAAATATCAGTTGTCTCAAAATGAAAATATGAGACATTCAATTTAGCATTCTGGTTCTTCAATTCTATGAAAAGGGGTAAAACGGTCCCCAGATCTTCATTTTATCATTTACTTTATTTACCAACTACTGTGAAGAATTTCTGCCAAATTCTGAAACAATTCTATCAAGTCCTTATTCTGTTTTTAAATGAAGAAAAAGTCAACAGCTTTGAAAAACAGAAAACTTTAAAATTGTTGGGGGCGCGCTTAAAAGTTTATTTGTGGCCAAATGCCTATGTATAATAAAAAAATGTGTGGGAACCTATGTAAAGTAAAAATATATAGTTCTGGGAATAATAGAAGTATGGTGATAAACATTTGAAAGATGGAAATTTTATATGTGCCTTTTTAAAGATATTGCTTAAACTTAGGATCTCTGCTTTGGGATTAATATGGTAGTTGGGATGCAAGTGGTTATATAAAAGTAAAAGACTAAAAACTTCTCTTTGGGATGACTGTATGATTTTTTTTGTCTTGTCAACATCTTTCTTTCCAGACCCCACAAATGGGTACCTTCATGGGTGTCTACCTCCCATGTCTACAAAATATTTTTGGAGTGATCCTCTTTCTTCGCCTTACATGGGTGGTAGGCACAGCTGGAGTTCTTCAGGCTTTTGCAATTGTCCTTATCTGCTGCTGCTGTGTAAGTCTTGCATTGGCTCCTGCAGACTACCTGGAACATTGTAAATTCTCAAGTATATGCACTTGACCTCTTTAGGAATAAAACAAAGAATACTAGGGAAAGATTCATGATCTCAACAGGAAAGATTATTCTAATATTAAAACCTAAAGTACTTTCAGTTATTTAGTGCCTGTTATTCACTGTTTTCTCTCTATTATATTATATGATATACTAGAAATTACAAAGTAAGACTTCAATTGGAAATAGAAGACAAAGTTCCTATCTATTTTTAGTCTATTCTTTTATTTTTTATTTTTATGTTTTGAGCGAGAGTCCCTAACTTTGTTGCCCAGGCTACGAGTTGAATGCCGTGGCCTCAGCCTAGCTCACAGCAACCTCAGATCTGGGCTCCAAGCAAATCCTACTGGCCTTCAGCTGCCCCAGCAGTATTGAGACTCACAGCGCATGCACCACGATTGCCTGCGCTAAATTTTTCTATATATAGTTAGTCTGGCCACATTAATCTTCTTTATGTTTTATAGTAGAGACGGGGTCTCGCGTCCTTGCTCAGGCTGGTTTTCCTAAACTCCTCGACCTTCGGCAATGTCGCCTGCCTCGGCCGCCCAGAGGTGCTAGGATTAAACAGGTGTGGAGCACCTCGCCTGGCCTAGAAGTCTTTATCTTAAAGGATTGCAGAAGTCCAAACCATTTGGAGCTTGACTAGCCATCAAAAGTTGTGACAGAAATGTGTTATAAATATGTATTAACTATCCAGTATGTATCCTGCAGAAACAAAACTGAGAGTTATTTGGGCGGGGCGCCTTTGGTGTTTATTAAGTGCTCTTCTTGTTCCTTAGAATTCAGTCTAGTTTTCTTGCAGGGTCTTCTCTTCACTATCCAAGAACATTTTGATCTTCCTTCAATTTAAACTCA